GTGAACACCGCCCTGACCCTCCGTGCCGTGCCCGTTGGAGCTGTCGGCAGTTCCAGGCTGGGCCGTGTCGGTTATTCGCCCGTGTGGAGCGCGGGCTGAGCAGGGTCATCCCCCACGCGTGTAATTACTGCGGGGTAAATTCAGGAGCTCGGACAGGGATCCCTGGAGAGTGAGCGGCAGGAGCAGTGATTCTATAACGGGACTGAAACGCTCAGATGTTGGGTGTGTTTTGTGTCCTTTACAGACACACGGGTAGTAACTGCTGCCTCGGTTTTCTGAGAGGAAAATTTTTAGGCTACTGTTGTTTTCTGACAGGAGAAGATTCAGGTGAAAATAAAGGTTTGCTGAAAGTAATATAACTTACCCGTGTTGCATTTATTTGAAAGCAAAGGGTAAAACCTACTTGGGTTGCCTGTTGGTTTGGGGTTTTTTTTCCTGTTGGAATTGCTTTCTAGAATAAAAGAAAAGAGAAAGAATGGGGATGAGAATGGTGAAAGAGGATAACACTTTAATACTTACAGATATCTGTCTAGTTTTAGCACAAGGCACCAAAAGTAGAAGACAATATAACCCTCTACAGAAGAATGGATTTCTGTAAATTAATCTTTACACACACCACAGGCTGCACTAAAAAGGCACTTGTGTACTGGAATAAGAGTGTCTACATCCAGGGCTTGTAGGTGACATAAAGTATATGTGGTTAAATTTATGCCTTGGATCACAATGAGGAAACTGATTTCTTAGGGTAAATAAGATCCAATTTTATGGTATGGCAGTGTTTAGGAATGTGAAGAGATTAGGCAGGACATGTTTCTAGTGCCTAAATCTGCAATCTCAGAGGTCTGTATTCTATTTCTGGTTTTGCTGTAGCTTTATTCCTGTCTATAGGAAAATTGTTTGCACAGAGTAAGCAATGCTTTGCTGCCTTGTGGTACTTGTTCCGTGTAAAGGAGAGCTGGATACAGCAGTAAAAGGTGAAGTATTTTATGCTTAACATATACTATGGAGTATCATTATGCAAACACAGTAATACAAATTCTGAGCAGACACTGGCCTTTGGATTAAAATGCTACTATTTTTTTAAAGAGTGAATGTAGTTCCCAGCTAATATCAGTGTAAGCATTGATGCAGTAGCTTTTCTGCTTGAAATAATTTTTCTTCTGCTGTGTAAATTTTGTTAATATCACCAAAAAATAGATATGTAGAAGCACTAAGAGACTATTTCTGTTCCCTTGAAGCAATAGTGGGAACATATTTGGAAAAGAAATTGAACTGATACTCAACACACCTCTCATGTGTTAGAAGCCAATGGTTTCTAAAAACGGTGGGGGCAAACAAAGCACCCAGTTTTTTTCTGAGGCAAGTGCATGATGTGCTGGGGGAGTTTTGTCAAGCTGTTAGACTTTTGTAGTGGATTTGATGCTTATGATACATGTTTTGATTAGCGAAAAATCTTAAAATTGTGCGCGTTTCAGTTTGACAGGAATACTGCAATTGCTCTTTGGTACTTAGTCTTGTTTTATAGTAAGTCTGCTGATCTAATCAAAACAGCTGAATTTTCTTGCAACATTGAATTGAGCTTATTTCTCAAGGATCAAAATAGAGCTTTGTTTGCTTGTGAAATATGCTTTGCAGTGTGCCCCAGTCAGATGCCAACGACTGCTATGTAAAAATACGCAGAAATAAAGAACCTGGAAGTTTCCAGTGCTTCTGAAGCAAGTGGCACCTGGGATTCACAAAGAAAAGCATGACATGGACAAGTAGAGATATGCTGCTGAAGCCTAGAGGTGTTGGAATAACTCTGTGGCTCAATGTAGTTAGATTTCATTGCGATGCTCGAGGCCTTATGTGTTCTGATCTAAGTAGCAGGTGTTGTTTGGGCCGCTGGGGATAACGCTAGTGTTCATGTACATAGGGAACATCAAATATGCCATAATCTGACTGCCTGGTTATTCTGTTCAAATCTATTCTACTACCATAATTTATGTTGCTGTGAGGGTGTATCCCAAGGAATAATGTGATTTCTGAACATCATCTCATCCAGGAGTAGCCCAGCATAATGCACTCGCAGATGCTCAAATGCACCAATATAAGGTTTGTCTTTCCAGGCTTCGCAGAGCTCATCAGCTTCAAAGATTGTGTTCAGGAAGCGAATGGCACAGTTACAGAGTAACACATGCAACAAATGCTGCTGGTGTTTTTCTCATTTGAAGCATCTAGTGTGTGATGAAAGATGTGCCGAAAAATCCGTAGATGGGTTCACAATGCCTTTTTACAGCAGCAGTTCAGATTTCCCTTTGCTGTTCTGCCTGTCTGCTTCAGAAGCACTGCCTGACATGAGAGAAAGCAAGCTCTGTCTGGTGGTCTCCCTGGTTTGAGGTCTACCTGCTGACACTTTATTGAAGAAGCCTGTAATGCTAAGTCTCATGCTAGCTCTCTTTAGTGTAGAGGTGTTATTGTCCAGAGCTTTGTCAAATAATTAATTGCTTTACTTTAATCACATCTGTGTTTCAAGGTGTGTTCTGTGTTCGGCCACATCAGCGAGGGCCAAGACTCCTCTTCACTGATAGGTGCTCACCTCTGTCCAGATCTGAACCCTCACTACTTGGCTGAGACTGCTAAATGAATTCTTTTGATTGATCAATGGTAACTTTGGCCATGGACGAGTCCCAGTGGATCCCAAGTGACTGTAGTGAGGAAATGTGTTTTACTGATACTTTGCCTCTTGGAAGTTTGTAATGAATATTATTCTTTATTAATATTCCAGTTGCATCATCTTTGAACATCAATGAAAGACCAAGGATGGCATTCTTCAAGCAACAGATGGTGGAGGATGTTTATGAAATTGGGGAAGAGCTAGGAAGGTAAGGTTGTCTTGGTGACATCACATGGATCTAAAGCTGAAACTGGGGATATTTGCCACATCTTTAAAACAATGACTCTGCATGATAGCCTGAATCAGTTAAACTACACAACAATAGCAGCACATCCCTTTACAGGAACTGCATTTCAGATATTGTTGGGTTTTGGGTTTTGAATTTTTTTTAGATGAAATGTGCTAACTGTTTTTCCTGTTTCTTTTCTTGCAACTAGGACAACAAAAGGTACGTTTACGTTGTCTTTTGTAGATCGGTGTCATCTGTGTCCATGCTTTACACTGAGTTCACCTGCCCATTCTCTGAACCAGCTGGGAAGCAGGAACCCATGCTGCTGTGGTCATAGATGCAGTGCTTTAATTTGTCTTGTCACTTTGACCAGTGCTGCACAGTGCTGTTGTTTTCAACTGGCTCCACTGACAGAACACATTCATCTCTGCCTGCAGAACACCATGTATTTGCTCCTGAAAAGATTTACCTGTCAAAATTTCAGCTGGTCTGGTTAATGCTTCTGTATAGCTTTTAATCTATAAAGGCTTATCTGCAGGTATTAATTAGATGTACTTAACAGCTATTACCATGTTTAACCATAAGCACTTGCTTAAATACTCTGCTGGGTTTGTGAGCTGGATGGCACAGGCTCCCCCTGTCACTTAGCAACATACTGTGCTCTGGGTGAGGATAGCTGGTTTCTATTCAGTGTCCAGCCCTTCAGTGTTTTTCTTTTTAATATGCAAATAGCTAAATTAGGGCTATAGACATGTTGGCTTCTTTCCCAATATCTGGCAGTTGGTTTTGATAATTGACTGTGTATGTGCAATTACCCTTTTTCAAGGGCCAATAATTTAGTGCCATTAAAATGCTTCAGTTGAAGCTGTTTCCCTCTCAAATCTTTTTTCACTCTCAGTTATTTCATCTTTAGAGTTGTTGAGAAGACTTCTTTTAAGGAGAGATGGGTCGCTTGGGGTTTTTTGCTTGTTTTCCATTCCCTTCCCTCTCAGGAAGGCCTCAACTATTAAATTTTCTCTAACTGCTTACTCTTGAGTATTGACTGTTACTGAGAACATCAGTATGACAGGGAAAATCTGACAACAGTGAGAAGTAAAGAAATTCAGTGCATGTATGCAAGGTGTAGAAGGTGTGATTTATTTTTTTTTAACCTGGGAGGCCTTAGTATGTGTTGGAACAGTCAAACTGCTAAAATGAGAAACTGGGAAATGAGTAGCCTATTTATACTTTGGCTTATGAATTGGATTTGGCAATCTTTGGAGGTGACGAAGCTCACGCTCATCTTCAAGCTGATGGGTATTGGGTATTTTGAATGGAGAAGTGTAGTTGAAACCATCTGGAAAAGGCTGACCATTGCTGCTTGAATCAGCCTGAGAGGCTGGTCAGAGTTTGCAGTCGCAGCAGCCCTCCTCCTCTCCTGGCTGCATGTCATAGAAGTGTGGCCAGGCCCAGGTTTATGCCATGGAGCTAGTACTTGCTGCAGGTTGGGTGATGAGTCTGGACTTGGAGGCCGTTATACTTGGGTGTGGAATCTGAAACTGTTGCCTTTTTAATGGGTGTATTCTCTGCAAGAAAGACCTTTTCTAGAGTCAGAAGAAGGAGCAGGTGTTTACGTGAGCAGGGGCCAACCTCACTTGACAAAGGGGTATTAAATGCCACTACAAAAACATGTTCTAGTTTCCAGCGTTTTATGTGTAATATTTCTTGTAGATGAGAAATCTGAATCTGCTTGGTAGTGAGGTCTGTGGGCTAAAACATTCCCTGAAAGTCTTGAAGAAAATAGGCCAATTGCAACATGCAGAACTCCACTCCTTGGTATGATATTTCAAGGAGTGCCCTGTAATGGCAAATTGTGAGAAGAGAGCAGCAAGACTGGAACTACGTCCCTTCCTCTGAATGCATTCAAGTTGTATACTTCACACGTGCCCATGGATATAATGTCACACTATCTCTCTTGGTGTATTTTCACTTTAAGATTTCGTGAGGAGCTCTGCAGGTCTCTTGTTTTGACTGTGTGTTAAGTGTGGAGTGTCAGCAGGGTCATTATGCCTCTGTATCTCTGAGGAATAACTACCAATAAGGGCCAGTGGCACGATACCTTGCTTTGCTAGAAGGAAAATAGCATCCTAGACCAATTGCAGTGACTGATCTTTCCCAATGCTGACTGATGCCCTTAGAACCTGTAGATGCCTTTTATTAGTTCAGTACACTTGCAACATGCCGTAGGTTGTTGACAGGTAGCAGCAGGCAAAAGGATTCATTTGTTATTCTGGCAACAGAAGTCACTTACAAAACAAAGGTTTTCAAACAGCATCTGTGAATAATCTGTCCTGTTCTTGTCCTCCTAACCGAGTGTGTGGCTTGATGAGAACAATACTTAATGCTTGTTCCAGCTCGGATCCAGCCATAAGCTAACATACAGGATCTCACTGACAGAGCCAGCACCTGTTTATCAGAAAGTCTGCACAGCACTTAGGGAAGGATTCTCCGGTAACAGAAGTAAATACTTCTTCACAAGGCTTAGCTCTGTCTGGTCTGGTGAAGAAATGAGACCCTTCCTGTCGTTGTGCAGCATTGCAGGTAACTGCAGCAAAGGCTCTTCAGCTCCAGCTGTGTAAATCCTGCAGACAGTGCGTTTGTGGACTCCTCAACCAGATCATTCTCAGAATCACTGCTGAGCTAGGAGCAACTGGGAGGATGCTTTAAATGCAGTTGTCTCCTCTGCCATGGCAGTGGTTTGAGAGAAGGCTCATTGCACAAAGGAGGAGCAGGTTTTCCACAGCTGCAGCTGTGTGCTGTAACTAGCTGCTTAGCTCCAGCATTCCCTCAGTCTTTCAAATGTTAATCTTACATTGACACCTGTTGCTCAGCTTCTCCAATGGGCACATGCAAGGAACAAGATGTCAGGCATGTGGCATTAGAGGCAAGCTGCTGATGGCCTTTCTCATTCTAGCAGCTATACTTGGGAAGCTTAGCGTGGCCTATGCAGAATATGTGCTGCACTTGGAATATACACCTATAATCATGTTACTTCCTGCAAGATGATATCAGTCAGTTTGCAAGTATGAAGTGTACAGGAACTAAGATTCTCTAGTCATAGCTGAAAGGGAGCCTAAAAAGAGGAGCCTCTAAAGTGAATTTACCACACTTCAGCATTATAAACAAATAATACAGCTTATTGCTATAATATTAGAATGTTCATTTCTTTCTTTGTGAAAATGTTATCTGTTTTGAGGAGGATCCTGGCATAAGCCATTCACAGGAATGTTGTAGCAGATCATTCTTAATGGCATGCCAAATCACTGAAAATGTTCTTTGAGAAATGTGAAGAAGTGGAGACTCGCTTGTTGTCTCAGGTCAAATAACTGCTGGTTCTTGTGGCAAGGGAGGTGGCAGCCAGAAACAACCAAGAATGGAAACTCTTCGACTGAGTCCGAAGCAGACCAGGAGAAAGAACTGGGCTGCTAAGCAAGGGGTGTAGGTTCCAGGAAAGTGGCAGCGATAAAGCTCACTGGAGAGCCTTAAAATATCAATTCAGTTGTTATGTTTTGGATGGGTAGTTCTCGTAGAAACCTGCAGGAGCCTTTCCCAGTTGTACTAGCAAACACTGGTGGTGGTGGTAGCACAGAAATTGTCGTATGTTGTAGCACAGAGCGTGATAGAATTTCGGAGTTGTGCAATTGTCATTTATAAGAGGTTGTACCATAGAGTCATTAATCTATTACCTAAATATGTTGCCAGCCAGGCTATGACAGCTGTTGACATTTGTGCCTTCAGGGTGGTGTCACTGTTACATGTGAAGCTGGGGCTGAGGTTAGAAGCTTGGGCCCACGTGTTCTGTGGCAGTGCCCACTGAGGGTGTGCTCTTGCAGCGTGGTGTGAGAATGTCACTGCAGTGTCCTGAGGCAATGTCCTGCTCACTGCAGCTCACGTCTCTGCAGCATACAAGGACTCATGCTTGACAGAGACAGACAAGCCTTGGAGTGATGTTTCTGGGCATGGAAGTCTCCCCTTTTCTTCATTGTCATCCTTTCACTGATGCTTCTGGGCATGGAAGTGTCCCCTTTTCTTCATTGTCATCCTTTCACTGTAGGGAAGGGGCTCTGCCTTTCTCTACAGTGTGGGCCACTTACCACTGGCCACTCCAGTTTCTTGTGTGTCTCAGTAACAGGGAGCTATGCTCCTCTCTCATCTCCCGATTCAGCCAATGCATTAATTCAAAAGGGAACCACTGTGATTTATGCAGATTTGTTTAGGCATAATCCAGCCTCTAGTTTTCTCAGGTCCTGCTGACCGGGGATGTGGTTTCATGGTTAAAGCCAAGCTTGATCTTTCATCGATGGCTTAATCATGCCTTCTGTAGTGCTCCTCTTCAGCTACAAGCTCCTGCCCCCTCCCTTCCTTGAGTGTGTGGGATCAACTCTGCTCCCTGAGGCAGGGGAAACCCTCATTTCTGGGTGAAGCTTTAAAGGACAGGAAACGCAACATTTCACCAGTGATAATGGTACCTTGTAGCCTGGCACATAGTTACTGTTCTGATAGTGTAACTACTAAATATTTATTTATGTAGTGCAAGCAAAAAGCAGAGATAACTGAGGTATTCTTTGTAGGGGAGGGGCTTGCTGTGATAAAAAGTCCTGTCACCCAGCTAGTTGGTCTCGTCTTCGTACACAGAGAGGTGTCGTCGCAGCTGGGAAATTTACCCTTGCACACACCATGCAGTATCTTCATACTGGGAATTCTTTTTTCTAACTATAGAAATTGCTCAGTATTGCAGTTTCTCAGATGTGAGCCTTGACTCTGTTCTTAGATTAATTTTTACTTTGAAGTAGTTCTTTAAATTTGAAGAGTAACCTTGGATTATTTTATCCTGCAACACACACAAAGAAAGTCTTTGCGTTTGAGGCAAAATGTAAATTTAGTTGTTGAGCACTAACCAGCAACTCTGTTAATGCTTCTTGTTGCAAATGTTCTAAGTC